CCACCGGCCCAGCCCCCGACACCGCAGTTGTCGTCGGCCGCCGCCTGTCTGTACCGCTGCGGTTTGTCATCCAGCCCACCCTCTCTGTCACCGCGGTACGCTTCCTGCGGATGGCTGTACCGCTTAGGGGCGGGCGGCGGTACAGCGCGCCATCGGTCAACCTGCGAGATGCGGGGCTCACCCGCGACTCGGGCCTATACCGCTCCACCAGCGGCGTCACCGGCGGCGTCACCGGCGGCGGCACCGGTGGTGGTGGTGGCGGCGGTGGCGGTGGCGCGAGCGGGCTCGTGCGGATCAGCAGTGAGGGGGCGCTGCCGTCGCCGCTGGGTTTGGGGGCAATCATGAAGCCGGCCCACCAGCAGCAGGAGCAGCAGCAGCAGCAGCAGCAGCAGGAGCAACAGCGACGGCGGCCGCAGGAAGTGGGAGTGGGTCGGCCTGGCGCGGCGAGCGCAGCCGAGGCGCGGGACGGCGGCCCGCCCGCGCGGCCGCAGGCGCAGCAGCAGCAGCAGCAGCAATCAGCGGTCGCACCCCTGGTTGCGGGGGGCGCGGGTGACGACCTGGGTGTGGCGCTGGACTGTGTGTTGGAGCTGGGGGTTCGCAACTGCAGCGATCGCTACTTCAGGTGGGCACTACCGGCGGCGGTGCGGCCGTTGCAAGGGTTTGCTGGCGGGACCTATTTTGCAGGGCGGGAGCGGGCTGTATAGGACTGTCTCTTGGCCATGCGTGCAGCCCAGGACGGCTCCCCAGCTGCCTGGTCTCTTTTTACCTGGTTGGAGCTGGTCAGCCAGTTTGATGCGGCCGCTGCACCGCGAAGCTGACATGAAGCTGCCGGCAAGCTTCCGAATCTTTGTCCCGCAGCCGGCTGCACACACGCGCACACACACACACACACACACACACACACACATGCGCGCCCCCCTGCATCCCGCCGCTGGCCGTCTCCTGCGACGCGACCACCAGCCGTTCGCGCCTGTTTGCCTCATGATTCTGCCCGGGGCTTCCAACTGCGCGCTGCTGGTGTGCCTGGCTGCCGCGCCTTCTGAAATCTGCTGCGCCTTGCCACTGCTCGCGCCCGTTCACAGACCCACCCACCTACCCATCCACCCACCCACTCACCCACACACACCCATGCACCCACCCATGCGCCCACCACTCAGCTGCCCGCACCGATGCAGACACCCCCCCCCTCGCTCACATTTGCCCATGCACCCGCCGCCCATCAAGCCCCATCCACCACCCATGCAGCCATCCGCCCCCGTGCACCCACCCACCGTCCCTCACAGGACCTGGCTGGCTCGCCTGCCCGGCAGGCCCTCCGCCGATGCCGCTGAGTCAGCGGTGGTTGTGCTGGAGCCCGGGGACGACGTCAGGCTGCTGTGCCCGCTGCCGCCGATAACGTCAGTGGTGATGTCAGCAGTAGCGGACGACGGGCGGCCACCAGGGGATGCGTGGGACAGCAGAAGAGGAGACAGAGGCGGGGATGCTTTGATACAGGCAGCAGGCGGCGGTGCGGGAGGCGGTTGGGGAGGCGGCGGCAGCGGCGGCGCGGGGGCTGCCTGCAGCAGCGGCGGGGCGCCGGCGCGGATGGCGGTAGCTGAGCGGCTGGTCGAGGGGCTGGGCGTGAGGTGGGAGATGATAACGGGTGACGTGGCGCCAGAGAAGCTGCCCAGGGGCCTCGTGCGGCTGGCGCCCGTGGACGTTGCACACAGCTTGACGCCGGGTGAGGGCGGCTTTGAAGGGGGGGTGTGCATGCCGCCGGGGGGAGGTGTGCGCTCGGCTGAGCAAAGGGTACAGGAGGGTACCAGTCAGCCGTGCTATTGCAGGGAAGGAGATCTGAATCGTGAATTGCGCCATGTTGAACCATTTCCCTGCCATGCCCCTGACGTTGACACACACGGCAAACCATCCCTGCCAATCCGACACCCCTCGGTCCCTGCAGCCGCCGTCGCGGCGCTGTGCCCGTCCCCCCTCCGCGCGCGCCTGGTGGCGGCCCCCGGCCCCGGCTCGTCCTGCCCCCCCTCCCTCAGCGACGTGACAGAGGCTGCGGCCGCCCTGGGGGCGCGGCTGGCGGGGACCGTGGGGCAGGCCTGGGCAGTGGCTCTGCAGGTGCGGGCGGGCGTTGGCTTTGTTGTGGCTGGGGGTGGGTGTGAGGTGACCGACGGGTTGTCTTCCTCTGAGCAGGGGCCTTTGCCACCCTGCTCGTGCCCCTACCTCGAAAACACGCTCATGACCATGCTCAAGCACCTTGTCGCCAACGATCCCCTCCGA